AAGCTGAACACAGCCCCCTGCACTTAAGTGAGTGCACAACTGGGGCAATAAGGATGCTACAGGGAGGTTACAGACGACTCACCTGCTGCAGTTCCTTGTGAGGTCTCCAAACTCATGGACGTGCAGTCCGTGCAGCCCAGGCTGCAGGCCGTCAATGGTCCCCTCGATGAGGCAGCGCTCAGGGGTCAGCTGTAGGAAGTGCACCACTCCCTGCACAGGGCCAGGCCCCCCAAGAATGGCCACTGCTGCCCCCAGATTCTCTGTAAGGTATTAAACACCAGGGCTGGCTCGTCACCTCACCCAGCCCCACCCATTTATCAACTTGGAAATGGCGTGGAGAGAGCCCCCTATAACTTCGTGGGATCCCTAAAGCCACGCCAACCCAAGCCCCCAAAGGCCATGGTTGGATCTGTACCACACCCAGGCCACCTCCCTCCCAGAGAAGCCAAGGCCAAGGTTACTCACGGAACAGGCCACTGCCCATGCCCTTGAGTACCGCCTGCCTCCCAGTGCCTTCTAGCAGGGCCTGCACCTCCTGGCTGGGCAGGGTGGTCTGTACCAGGACCATCTGGTTCTCCAACTGCACCTCCACACTCTGGACACCTGGGAGAAGACAGGGGACAGTGGGCAGCAGAGGGCTGGCACCCCTGTGCTGGGAGCAGGGAAGAAAGAATCAGGGGGCCATTCCCCATCCCCATCTTAACCAACCTTCCTATGGTTGGAGGCAAGCTCTGAAGCTGCCTTCTAGCTGTGTAAGGCCCTTAACCTCTCTGAGTTTGTTTCTTTATGAATAAAGTGGGGATAACGCCATCTTGCCCCCAGGAGTGTTGTGAATTCTTATTTCATGCCAGGCATTATTTATAACTTTCTTTTTTTTTTTTTTTTTTGTGCGGTGCGCGGGCCTCTCACTGTTGTGGCCTCTCCCGTTGCGGAGCACAGGCTCCGGACGCGCAGGCTCAGCGGCCATGGCTCACGGGCCCAGCCGCTCCGTGGCATGTGGGATCTTCCCGGACCGGAGCACGAACCCGCGTCCGCTGCATCGGCAGGCGGACTCTCAACCACTGTGCCACCTGGGAAGCCCCTATTTATAACTTTCGAAACACAGATAGTTCTTTTAAAAATGTTTCAGCACAACATTGTAAATCAACTATACTTCAATTTTTAAAAATTAAACAATAAAAAAAAATGTTTGTATGAAAGTGGGCTATCAATAGCCATATTACTCATGATAGTCAAAAGGTGAAAATAACCCAAAAGCCCATCAAATGATGAGTGGATAAACAAAATGTGTACCCATACAATGGAATACTATTCAGCCATAAAAAGGAATTAAGCACTGATACATGCTACAATGTGGATGAACCTTAAAAACATTATGCTAAGTAAAAGCCAGTTACAAAGAGCACATATTAGATGATGTCATTCTGGATGAAATACCCAGTATAGGTAAATCTATAGAGACAGAAAGTAGATTAGTGGGTAGGGGAGTAGGAGGGTGATAGCTGAAAGGTACAATTTCTTCATAAGGTGATGAAATAGAAAATTGATAGTGGTAATGGTTGCACAACTCTGTGAATATACTAAAAACCACTGAACTGTATACTTTAATGGATGAATTTTATGATATATGAATATTTCAATAAAGCTGGCACACATAAAAAAGAGGGGGCTATCACCACTATCCTGAAAGCTAACATTTACTGAACATGCACTGTGGGCTTTTTCGTATTTTACCTGTATTGATGCAGTAACCCTGTGAGTTGGGCACTATTATCCCCACTTTACAGATGAGAAAACCGAGGCATAGAGAAGTTAAGCAACTTGCTCCAAGTCACGTTGTAGTGAATGGTGGGACTGGAACTCATCCCAGGCAGCCTAGCTCCAGAGCCCAAGCACTTCACCTGAATACTGCTCACCCTGAGAAGCAGCTCCAGCCTCCAGGCTGGCTTGGCGCCCCCTCCTCCATCCTCCTGTGGCAGTTCCCACTTCTCCTATGTAACTCATGCTGCACCGATTACAATCCTCTGTGTGGGCAGGAGCTCTGTGTGGTCCACAAGGGTCAGGTTCAAAAGTGAGAGGGTCTCACCTGCCCTCCAAATCCCTGAAGTCACCCTGGTGTATACACAACCTGCGGGACGATTCTGACACATGCTCAGTTTTGAGGGCCATCGAGCCACCTCAAAGAAGGACGAGAAGGGGCTTCTCTTTCATTCAGATGTTCAGGGCTCATAAACCTTTTAAGAGAACTCTTGAATCCTGAGCCAGAGCACGGGGGGATGGCTGGGAACTCTGAGGGATGATCTCACCTGTGGAGCTTACAACCATTCTGCTCTGATCTTAGTAAGTGTGTCTGTTGCTCTGGCACGGTAGAGCCCATGGGAGCCGGGAGCCCTGGGCAGCCCAGAAGACAGGTTAAGTGAGGCATGTCCCTCTGCTGAGCCAATGCTGTGTGAACTGAAGGCTGCACTGACTGTCTGCATTCCCTTCATCCTTGGTTCCCCCACCCACCTCCACCCCCGCCCTGTATTCGTTCAACAAATGTGTGCTGGGCCTGGAGGAGGCCAGGGTCAGGGAAAGCACCAGTCCTAGTCCGCAGGGAGCTCATGGGCTGCGGGAGAATCAAGACTACACCTGGATTAACCATCAGGCAGAGACGGGAATGACAGTCCCTGAGGCACACATAAGGAACTTCAGCTGCTCAGATTCCTTCCAACTCGAGGCAAAACGGGGAGATGGTACTGGGAGGAGGTAGCACGCAAGAGGCAGGACTGTTTGGCCTGTGGTTACAAAGGGTCCCGCGGTCTTGCTTCTACAGATCCCCTGCCCCATCGGTGACGCTGTTGGGGGAGGGGCTGAATTTGTAAACAGAAATCAGACAGACACACGCATCTCCTCCCCCGCAAGTACAGGGCAATTCTGCAATTCTGCCAGAAGAAAACCCCCCAAATAACCCAACTGCCTGTCACTTAACACAATGTCTCATCCTGGGCCACCTAGCGTGAAGCCTTGGAGCTCCAGGTCCACCCAGAGGTGCCTCTGGATGCCAAAGTGGTAGGGAGGACGGTAGGGAACTCTGAGCCTCTAGGGAATGCCAAGAGCTGTGTGCTCAGCTTTACACACATCAGGACAGTGATACTGTCCTCCTCTGCCAAGTGAAGAAATGAGGCTTCTCAACTGGCTCGAGATCGCAAAGCTCAGAAGGCAGCCTGTCCAACTCCAGAGCTGATGCTTGGTCCCCTTGCCCCACAGGAAGGACTGGGCCCCAAAGGATTGATTGTCTGAGGCTCCCAGAGCTCAAGTAAGCATGCAGTGTGAGGGATTCACTTGCCTATTCATTCATTTAACAAATGTACACTAAGTGCCTATCATGTGCCCCGTTCTGGGCAGTAGGGATGCAGCAGGGAACAAGTCAGGTGATGTCTCTGCCCCATAAAGCAGCATGTGTTCCAGCACAGGAATATGGATATCAAACACACGCACAGGGAGATTCAGATAGTGCAAAGTGTGCTCAATGAAACAGGTATTGGGTAACAACCGGGGCGTGAGCTACTTAGGCTGGTGAAGGAAAGTCTCTCTGAGCCTTTAAGCAAAGGCCTGAATGTAGTCAGGGAAGAGCATTCCAGCAGAGGGTACAGTTTGGGCAAAGACCCTGAGGCAGGAACAACATCTACGTGTTCTAGGAAGAGAAAGGCCCAAGTGGCTGGAGCTGGAGTAAAGAGAATGATAAAATACAAAGTTGTAAGTGGAGACCAATGAAACAAAGCCCTGCAGGCAACAGGAAAGAATCTGGAATTTAATTTTAATGCAAGGGGAGGCCATTGGGAGAGGCCACAGAGTACAGTGGTTGAGGGTGTGGGCTCTGGAGTTGAAATTCTGAGTCTGCCACCTACTAGCTGTGTGGCCTTAGCTTACTCAACCTTTCTGTTTTCTTTTCAGTTTCTTCATCTGCAAATGGAGATAACAATACGACCTACTTCAGCGGGCTACTGAAGGCCTAAACGAGTTACCTCACATATAGCACTTAGAACAGTGCCTGGCCTATGGGAAGCTCTTAAATATTAGGACTTTTACAGGATTTTAAGCAGAGCAGTGACAACATCTGATGTATGATTTAAAAAATCATTCTTAGCAATTTCCTGGCGGTCCAGTGGTTAGGCTCTCACTGCCAAGGGTGCAGGTTCGACCAGCGGGTTGGGGAACTAAGATCCCATGAGCCACGTGGTGCAGCCAAAAAATAAAATAAAATAAAATAATTGAAAATAAAAAAGGAAAAAATCACTCTGGTTTCTATGTGAAGAACCTATTGGAAAGGGCAACAGAGAGCCCAAAGATCAGGTTCTCGTGTGGGTCGTGGAGAGGTGAGGTGGTCTGATTTGGTGTGAAGCCCAAAGTACAGAAAAAGAGTTTTAGACACAGCAGACAAGACTTTCTGATGGCCTGGCTGAGGCACAGGTAGGTTGCTGCTCTGGGGTCTCCTAAGAAGAGCTGCTTCTCTGCACTGAAAGTGGGAGGGCCCCAGTGGGAAGCTCCTTGTGACTGCAATTCCCGAACTCTTGACCTGAGTCTGAACCAAGAAGGCTGGCTCCCCAGCTGAGCAGCAGTTCGGTTTGGCTGGTGTGGAGTGTGGCCAGGCCAGTAGTACCTGTTTAGCTCAGAGCCCAGAGAGGGAGAAAAGATAAGGCCATAGGGGACTCTAGGGTGGGTGATAAGAGTTCAAGGAAGTGAGCCTTGGGCTGGGAGGTCCTCCCACTTACCCCTAGGAGGAGAGCAGAGCCTTCTTCCCCAAAGCCCAGGCCTCCTGGAGAGGGCAAATCAACCAAGCACTCTTTCTGTCTCCCTCTCTGCATCTGGGAAGCCAGCCCATGAGAAAGCCAAGCTGCTTCCAGTTACCCAGACCAGAAAACATAGTCACCAGAAGTCTTTATCTGGTCTCTAAGAAACCTGCAGAGGGCTAAAAACTGCCCTATGTCCAACAGAAGTCCAGCTGTCTGCTCTCCCAGTAAGAATGTTTTACAGGAGGTAGAGTCCAACAGCCTTGGAAAGCTTTGGTCAGAACACTCCACTCTCAGTGGAATGGCTCAGTTTTCTCAGACAGTCACCCCTCATTCCCAAACACATAGTCAAAGCAAACCCAGCTTTAGGATCTGTCCCCCTCTGCAAATATGGCACTGGAAGCCAGCACCAAGCGCTCTGGGGGCTGAGGGCAGGCACTGCCCGGCTGCTGCGCACCAGCCCCGCTCTGCTCTCCATGCATAAAATTCACGGGCAAATGTGAATGGCTAACAAAAGGAAATGGTGTTGGAACAGTGGGAAACAACAATTTTGCACAGGACGCTTTGGGAGATGTTTACTGTAGTCTGCCTGAAGTTGGGACAAAATTGAACCAACAAGAGGAGTTTGGTGCTTTGGAAAGTGTGAGAGCTGCTAGTGAACTCTAGTCTCCTCTATCAGGAGAAGTAACTGAAATGAATGAAGCTCTTGAAGAAAATCCAGGACTTGTCCACAAATGTTGTTATGAAGATGGTTGGCTGATCAAGATGACATTCAGGAACACCTCAGAACTAGATGAACTAATGGGTGAGGGAGCACATAAGAAATACATAAAATCTATTGAGGAGTGAAAATGGAACCCTTAAATAAGCCAGTTTGAACAACTTAAAAAAGATCAGGGACTTCCCTGGCGGTCCAGAGGTTAAGACTCTACGCTTCCACTGCAGGGGGCAGAGGTTCGATACCTGGTGGGGGAACTAAGATCCCACATGCCACACGGTACGGCCAAAAAAAAAAAAAAAGATTTGTCCCCTCATGCATCTGCCCAACCAGCTTACTACCTATAAGCCCTGCCTCTCATAATTCCTAAGATTTAGTGGGCTCTCACTACATGCCAAAGACCTTTCTAAAGTGCTTTTACATGTATTAACTAATTTACTCTTCACAATGAACCTCTGGGGTAGCTTCCATTACCTTGCCCATTTAAACACGGAAGAAACAGACACAAAAAGTAACATGCACGAGGTCTTAGTGCCATTAAGTGGCAAAGGGGGGATTTGAACCCAAACAGTCTGACTCTAGAGCACATACCCCGAAGACCTAGGACACACTGCTGCCTTATACAGAGCCAAGTGCCACCAATGACCCAGTTTCAGAAGGCATCACATGGCAGCTCCTCCGAGAACTGCTCTTCCCAGCGCAATGCTTGTGTGCTCATGTTACCTGAGGGCAGAGGCTGTGCCTGAAACACTTGTGAACACTTTTCCCTAAAAAGCCCCCAGTGTCTGGTCTATACCTGAATGACTGGATAAACATTTAACAGAATCAAAGGCTGGGGCTTCCCTGGTGGCGCAGTGCTTGAGGGTCCACCTGCCGATGCAGGAGACGCGGGTTCGTGCCCCGTTTCGGGAGGATCCCACATGCCACGGAGCGGCTGGGCCCGTGGGCCATGGCCGCTGGGCCTGCGCGTCCGGAGCCTGTGCTCCGCAAATGGGAGAGGCCACGACAGTGAGAGGCCCGCATAACGCAAGGAAAAAAAAAAAAAAAAAAAGGCAGGCAGTTCCCACGGCCATGCTGGTGGCTCTGCCTTCTCAGATCTTTCCGACTGTGCCTGGACACCTCCAGACCAGCTAGCTGACTTTTAAGAATCAGGGCCGGACTTCCCTGATGGCACAGTAGTTAAGAATCTGCCTGCCAATGCAGGGGACATGGGTTCAATCCTTGGTCCGGGAAGATCCCACATGCTGTGGAGCAACTAAGCCTGTGCGCCACAACTACTGAGCCCACGTGCCACAACTACTGAAGCCCGTGCCCTAGAGCCCCGTGCTCCGCAACAAGAAAAGCCACGACAATAAGCCCGCGTACCTCCCCCACTCGCCGCAACTAGAGAAAGTGCAGCAATGAAGACCTAAAGCAGCCAAAAAAAAAAAAAGAATCAGGGCCGCCTAGGATGGAACATGGCTAGGGCTGCTGTTTGCTTTGTCAAGATTATTTTGTTTCTCAAGCAAGAACTGCCTGTGTTCCAGGGAAAACCCCTGTAGGGGGGCACTACGCTCTGCCTACCTCCTCACCCTCCAGGCACTGGAGGTTTAAGACACCAGAAGGGGGCTTCCCTGGTGGCGCAGTGCTTGAGAGTCCGCCTGCCGATGCAGGGGACGCGGGTTCGTGCCCCGTTTCGGGAGGATCCCGCATGCCGCGGAGCGGCTGGGCCCGTGAGCGCGTCCGGAGCCTGTGCTCCGCAAATGGGAGAGGCCACAACAGTGAGAGGCCCGCATAACGCAAGGAAAAAAAAAAAAAAAA